TGACAATCTAAAGATTCCTTAATGTTTTATAGGTCTTAAGACTTTGTAACATTTTTTTCACAAAATCATTTTTCTACGTTTCAATCGAATGACAATTTTTAACTAAGCATATATTTTTTTTCTTTTTAAAAAATAGTTTTGGTAATGGATAATTTTCAGTTCAAAGGTTCAAATCACTTGATAATTACAGGTAGTATTACCTTACGAGTTTGAAGTAGATGTACAAGAATTATTTTTAACTTAGAAACTTAGATTAATTTTGCTTTGCATGTTCCAATTACATAAGAAATTTTAGCATAAGATTGAAAATGATTATGTTGACAAAATTGTATAGACTGACATCCTGTTGATTTATGCAAAAATTACTGAGTAGGTCAACAGGGTGGCATTCTGTTTAATAAGTATTTGTTGTGCAAATGACGTCTCTTATTCAACGCTAAATGGTGCATCTGAGACAACTCTCAGCTTTTAAACCTTTGTTATAGGGATATTGTCAACTTTAACCCACCATATAGTCTTTGACGTTTGGACGTACTGTTTTAAAAACACAAACGAGTGATGTAGGACTGAACACTTCTGTCATTTTAAAAGTGTTTTGTCTTTCCTTCTTTATGACAGTGGGTATTGTAAACCACTCTGGATTAATAATGCCCTTAACAGCAAAACTTTTGATATTTTTGTGATCGTTATATGAAAGTCCAGAATCTTAAAATTATGAAAATTATGAAATTATGAATTATGAAATAAACATGATTAACTTAATTTAACATCAGTTATGAGTGGTAAAGTTATATGTGTAAATTTTATTCGAATCACTTAGCACCAGTACGGTAATTTGTCTTATATAGTTAAAAAAACATTGTACAAACTGTAACAATGGCAGAAGTATGTTTCTATTTGATGAGTTTTGTTTGTAAGTTAAAATTATAAACAATCTTATGCAAAACCTGATTGTCCGTTTTTAACGGTAACATTGATCAATCAATCATATAATCAATCACATATCAAGTTATTAACAGCTTATACTTGTGAATATTGAACGTTTGTATCAATTTATCCGATTTCCATGCTATCCGAATTTCATAACACAGCATGGTGCTTTGAATTTAGCTCAAGGGTTAATAGTAGTTATAATTTCTTTTTAAGGTTTGAAACAGTTCAATAAAGTATCAATGTATAGATAATTAGATAACATCTAAAGCAAAACACTTACATGTTATCAAGAAATATAAAACGTAACATGTTATTCCTGATACCTTGAAAAATCTGCCATTTTGTCAAAACAGTATCACGTGACTAGAATCTTAACAAACTGTTGGTTCAGAAGTTACGATATTATGGACTGTATTTTTATCACAATTTTTGGACTTACAGCACTCTGACCCATTCAATATATTGTTACAGGCAAGAACCAGAGATAGAGAAAAAAATTACGAACATTTTGATACCAAACACTCATTTTTTATCAAAATTGGAGTTACGACACTCTGGAATTAGGGTGACGAAATACCTTAAAACTACAAAACAATTTGTGTGTCACTCACAGTTATGTAATAATTATCAAAACAAAGTTCAGGTACAACTACGTGACCGCCGCCGTGGTCGAGGGGTTAGAGTCGATGACTTCTAATCCAGTTACCTCTCTGGCTTGGGTTCGATCCCCGGCAGATCCTTTGGTAGTTTAGCGCAGAGGAAGGTAGTCTAGTACTGGTGTAACTCTCCAGGAACGATGGTTAGGAAACTACCCATCTATATGACTGAAATACTGTTGAAAAAGGTGTAAAATGAAACAAACAAACAAACAAAAGGTACAACTAAACAGGAGACCTCAATCACAAAAGATAGATAATAAATAAATATAAATTGCATTAATGGGGTTTGTTCTTATCATGGGAATGATTAACACTCGTTAAAATTTAGATTTACCAAAGAATGTTCAATAAATTATTCGAAATTCCAAATTTAAATTCTATAACTATTACTTATACATTTATTTAGTTATATATGTTAATGATTAAGATATGATATTTACGCATATTTAATCAGAAAAAATGAATACAAGTTACCAATAAAAACCACGTTTAGAGTTTTACTGTATGACATGCATATGGTATATTCAGCATAGTTCTCCTCAGAAGTAATAAAGTTACTTCCGATAATTTTGTGATTGTAGGCAAAAAAGAAGATGGTGAAAGAATCGGAGCTGTGTTAGACTATGTGTTTGCTGCATTAGGTGTTGGTATTATTATTGGGTCGATTTGTACTTGGCTTGTTCTTCACAGACAAGGGCAAATAAAAGGTATACTTATTCAATTTGTTGGTTCTCTTTTCTACGATGTTCTTATTAGCTTAAAAATATTGAAGAATTGCAACGGGAAAATTGCACTGGAACATTAGTACCGGCTGTAAGCTGTTTGTTTTGAAATTAATTTCCGATTCCGATAAATATACTGGCTATTCACAATAATGTTCCCAGTATATTCCGGACACGAACTTGTGCGGGTTTACAATATTTTTTTCAGCACCGACGGTCTATGTGCATTGCCTTTATTGATATCCAAAAACTGAAGTGCAATAACGTTTATAAACAAATAATGAGACATTACTGACAGTTATTACTTGGTTTAATTATCATGTTAATTCGTTGACAATATTCAGATAAACTTTTTTGAATATAGCATGCATTGTCCCTTCCCTCTAAATATATATTATTTCTTCCCTCTAGATATATAAGTCTGTTATTTCGACCACCTATAACCCACTGCAACACTTAACGACTAATTGAAGTAAGTTACGATATCAGGTTTAACTGAAGTGCAATAACGTTTTTGTGTTAATAAACAAATAATGAGACATTACTGACAGTTATTACTTGGTTTAATTATGTTAATTCGTTGATAATATTCAAATAAACCTTTTTGAATATAGCATGCACTGTCCCTTCCCTCTAAATATATATTATTTCTTCCCTCTAGATAGATTAGTCTGTTATTTCGACCACCTATACCCCACTGCAACACTTAACGACTAATTGAAGAAAGTTCCGATATCAGGTTTAGGTTTAACAATGTTAATCTCTTTGTTCAGAAAAATGCTCCAAGAACAGCTTGGCAAACTGAACAGAAATTTGTTTGTTATGACATTACATAGACTTTTTGTAAATTTTTATTTCTGTCAAATTCTGTATCAACAATATTGTCCTGCTTTGAATACTTTGGGCAGAATCTTTCACAACAGGGAATATCTAGATGAAACTAGAACTGCCACTGTCGTGGTGTGAATACCCCCGCATATCACTTTGTCAGAAGTTTTTTTTAAGTCAATGCCCCCGTGACCTTGAACTTTGACCCAGTGACCTCAAAATTAATAGGGGTCATCTACTAATCAGGACTAACCTCCATGCCAAATATGAAGACTGTGGATCAAAGGAATCTCAAGTTATTGGACGGACTAGCTTTATTTTAGTCAAGGCCCCTGTGACCTTGACCTTTGACCCGGTGACATCAAAATCAAAAGGGGACATCTACTTATCACGACTAACCTCCATGCCAAATATGAAGACTGAGGGTCAAAGGAATCTCAAGTTATTGGGCGGACAGGCTTTTTAAAGTCAAGGCCCCTGTGACCTTGACCTTTGACCCAGTGACCCCAAAATCAATAGGGGCCATCTACTAATTATGACTAACCTTCATGCCAAATATGAAGACTGTGGGTCAAAGGAATCTCAAGTTATTGGGCGGACAAGGTTTTTTAGTCAAGGCCCCTGTGACCTTGACCTTTGACCAAGTGACCTCAAAATCAATATGTCATTTACTAATCAGGACTAACCTCCATGCCAAATATGAAGACAGTGGGTCAAAGAAATCTCAAGTAATTGGGCGGACACGTATTTTAAGTCAAGGCCCCTGTGGCCTTGACCTTTGACCCAGTGACCTTAAAGTCAAAAGGGGTCATTTACCAATCAGGACTAACCTCCATGCAAAATATGAAGACTGTGGGCCAAAGGAATTTTAAGTTATTGGGCGGACAAAGTAAAAGCGACGGACGGAGAGACGTCCGGACGTCCGGACCGCCGGACGGACAAGCTGATTCCAATATTAACCCCCTTACAACTTCGTTGTGGGTGGGGGGGGTATAAAAATATTAGACCATTTAATCCACTTTTCCAGCTTTTATTTTATACTTGCCAACGCATAATGTCATTTATCAGACAGAATGATCTAGTATCAAAACATTTTTATGATATTGAATTTAACATTTCAATGATTTAAATGTACATAAACTGATAACTTAGAAATAAATAGTATGCAAGTAATCAAGTTACACGGTACCTTAAATTCTTAACGGAAATTTAAGCATACCTTTCAATTAGTCAAGAAGAGCAGCTTAATGTGCTTGACTAAATTCTAGTCATTAAGCATTTAACGTTTACAAAATTGACATAGTATAAAATACAATCTATCAAGATATAAAAATATAAGAATTTTTGATCCGCTTTTCTTTCTTGCTATTATTTAATTTTTGCTAACACAAATGTCATGTATTTATTTGTCAGGCAAAATGATACTGCCTGCTTAGAAAGAGATCTTTTAAGAAAACATTTGTGAAATAACCTTTTATAGCATGGCAATATAACCAGAACTATTACGAATAAGTTTCTGTTTTAAAAACTGAAATTAAAATATTTATTAGGTTACCCGATTTATGCAGCACCACCGAGGACCATTTTCATATGAATAATAATGTATTTAACACTGATCTGACTTATCTAATTTATTATTTGCTTTAAACTATTTTTAAGCTATGAACATGGCTTTTACTTCAATATAAACAGTTCTAAAAATGTTGCTTTCTCTGTCGTATGTTAAAAAAAAACGGGAGATTAAAATATCAATTACGTTATCTCATTGCTTATGGGGGAAACAGCTTTTTAAGAATTTGTTTTATATTTTAAACATTTTTGATATGCTTTTTCATTAAACAGGCTCGGAGAAACAAAATCAACCTCAGCCAACAGTGTCTCAAGAAATAGGCTTTACTGGAGCGACATCTACACTGTAGGTTTCAAATTTCATGTTGTTAAAATATTTGAATTAACGTTTCAAGTGGATAATTTTTTTGAATGGTAGTTACCACCATTATATCCATAATTGATAAAATCTAAAATGTTTATTTTTTTCTGATATTTTTGTAGTTGTCATCGCATGAAGTAAAATGATTCTTTGAATCTGAAATTGTAATCCACTTAAAAAATTATTTATTCTAGGAATACCTACGAACAACTGCAAGACAGAACAGATACTGAACACAGAGATGCTTATGATTCCCTTGATGGTATGCTGTCGTTTACTGTCGCGATTTTAATTGCATTCTTGAAAATTACAGACTGACTTCAGCATTAAATAGATTTATGATGATTTTGTGGATAAGACATTTCAAAAATATGACACGTATGATATATACAGTGAAATGAAGTATGATATTATATAACTTATTGCCAAAACCGATAATAGTAATTAGAAATATTTCAATTAAAAACAATTCTTAAAGCATAATGCAAGGGTGCTCGATGATTACGCTGTTATTTATATTCATAACTGATGCAAGTGCTAGGTAGCAACACTTGAAGTCATTTTATTTGGATTATATTCCACAATTATGTAACTTTTCTTAATTGCCTTTTCACTTTAAACGCAGTTTTTATTTTTAATTAATAGGAAAAGATCTTAAATAAATTCCATTTCCGTTTGTATTCATTGCAAACTTCGGCGTATTTAATATATAAATGATTGTCTTATTACTTATGGCCAACAGCTTAGTTTTTTAATATTTCTAACTTTTTGATATGCTTATTAGTTTTAGGCCCGGATAATCAAAGTCATCCTCCACCAACAGAGTTTACTGGAGCGATATCTACGCTGTATGTTACAAATTTTAAAATATAGTATTAGAATTAACGCTACCAGTGAATTTCTCTTTTGCATCGTATTTGCCACCATTATATCAATAATTAATAATATCTAAAATAATTTTTATGATATATGTTTGCAATATTCATCACATAAAGGAAAATGATCATTAAAAACTAAAATTGTAATCATATGAAAATTATTTATTATAGGAATACCTACGAACAACTGCAAAACAGAACAAATACTGAAAACCGGGAGGCGTATGATTCACTTGATGGTATGATGTCATTTTCATTCGCGACTTTTATTATTCTAGGTTCTTAACAATTACATACTGACTTCAGCATTCATTTTATTAATGACAGGTTGGTTTGATACGATATCATGAAACTATAATATGTAGAATAATTATATTAATGGATAACTTACGAGCAAAATTAAGATAATTCGCTGTACATGTATTTTATTTTTTCTATAACTGACCTTTAGTTTATTTCAAATTATCTTAATATATTATATATTCAAAGAAATTCAAATTGGATTGAACATTGATTCTGAAAATCAATAGTACGTAAACTGGTCATGAAAATAAATAACACTGATGCCATGAAATGGATATAATTCAAGATGTTTTTATATGACAGCTACTGGCTATTTTAATTTAACGCTTTAAATGTCTTTTCTTTCCAGCCAATCACATTATGAGTGTCTGGAACAGGGAGATGAGAAATTGCACACTTATACAGATCTAAATCAGAGTCGATAAAACATAAATATGTTAAATGAAGAAATCAACCTCAGTCGCTCGGATTACAGCCGTCTTATCTTTGATAGAGAAATAACACTGTCTAATGATAAATCAAGACTATCTGTATGCTTAGTTGTGTAATTAAAATAGGCTTTATCCATTGTCCTTCTATGTACAATAATTCTAGCTTTCAAGGACTATTTTTTTAAGATTTCATTCTTTAGCTTTGTTTAACTAGAAAATATCATGAGAGCCATTTTTGGCAGTTAGAGTAAATAGAATAATAAAGGCTTTTGCTTGCGCATTAATTATCGTTTGAATTTTTTGAAATTTTCATTGTCTTCGAAGGATATTTCCAATTTCAGATTTTTACAAGTTAATTATCGGTTTTGCTCTTCCAGTCAGAAAACAACTGCATACATAGGTTTATTACATTAAGATATTGTATTGCGTGTTCCGTTGATATGATAAACCATTATAATTGTATGTTAGGTCAAATATATAATCGGTAATTAAAAACCAAATGTCTTTTTTTGCAATAACAAAATGTTATTAATAAGTTATATAGTTTGCAATTATCATAATTTGTGTGATATTTCTATTTAGACTTACACATACTAAAAGATCCTGTTACTCAATCGTTATGGTTTTATTACACAAATGTGATGCTCAAATGAAGATTGATCAATATTATAAGTTCCATGAAGCATTACTTGTAAAGATATTACCGAATTTACATTTCATGTAAATAAAGGCAGGTAATTAGAAAACTATTTTCGATGAAGTCTAAGCCAAAGTTTAAATAAGAAATGAATGTATGTATATAAACAATTACTTATAATGCGTGTAAACATTTTCAGTACATATCTAACATATTCTTGGATGTTTTGATTTTTTTTAGAAGAACGTACATTTATAAACTTTCATTTAAACGTTGTTAAACCCTTAATCACAACATACAGGATCTGTTTTACATCTGTTAATTTATTAACTTACCTGCATTGTAAAGCAGCACGCACCAAGATTCATGTTAATTTTTATGAAAATTTTAAAATGTATAGAAAAGTAAAATATTGTGAGGTGATCAAATAAAGTTATTAATATATTGCAATCGGCACTAACAATCCACGAAACTTACCAAAAAGTGGTCAACATATGCATAAAAACAGCCCTACTGCGATAGTAATGCTGTGTTCTCACCGATCAGATCAACTCGATTAAGCACGATCAAGCGATCGGGTACCGGTCTAGCTCGGTCTGCATGCGTGATCGGGGGTGGTCGGAGCGGTCTATCTTAGTCGGCATGACTCAGGTTTCCTACCAAATCTTTTTTGGCATGTTAAATTAATCATTATTTTATAACTCGATTTTTGTAATTGTATGAATGAGCTGTATTACATTTGTAGAATTTCGATTGCGTTCTGCCTGCTTACCTTTAAAAATAAAACGACTCTTTTCTGCGCTTAAATCATTGTTTCATCATCTTATCAACGTAACTGTTCTATAAATTTACCCTACACTTGTGGCCAAGAATATTCTAAATTTTTAAATATAGTAAAAATTTAAGGAAAAAAACTTTAGTAATACCAAATGTACTCCTCCCACTTCTTATGAGGAACTTTCATTCTCTTTTGAAAACACACTGAAATTGTTCTTTATTTTCAGAAATAGTAAAAAAAACACAATACCAATGGTTAGTTCGTTAGTTTTGAAATTTAGTTAACTTTCATAACTCAAGTGTATTTTATTCTGAATTAGAAAGTATTAAGTACAATTGTTTTTGAAAAAAAAAAAAAAAATGGTTTCTTTCTTTCGTGTGACTTTATTTCATATAAGGCATGACGGTAAAAACATTGACGTTCTTTCAAAATCAACACAAAATTGAAATGTGAAATTAAAACACAAACACATACATCGACGTAGTTCTAAAGAAATCCAAGTGATAGCTTTATCATGTTCAAGTCATTCCAAGGTTATAAGAACTTCATTTTTTTTTCAAAACATGCATTTTTACAATTAAGTATGTATATTCAAAGCATTAAAGATATATTTTGATCATTTTTGTGTAAAATAATTTTATTGCAGACATTTATTGAAATCATGAATATGTCTTATATGAGTAAGTATACTATAACCTATGTTTCTTTTCTATTACTTGTCAACTTAGTTTTGTCTATTCTTATAAAAAAACTGTCAATTTTTGTAATGACACTGTTATCATACTGTTGATGCCTGTACTTTGTATAGTTTAAAACGTATCATATTTTCTCTTTGTGTATTAAAAAGGTGTTTATTTAACATTTCTAAAACAACTAAAAAGTAATTAAATGTATCAGTATTACAATAATCATATTTTTAAACTTATAATGTTGATAATGATGATGAAAATAATATATTTTCAAACATTGAACATGGTCGGATTATGAAACAAAAAAACAAAACAATATTGGAACTGCTTTCCTGAATCATTCAAATAAATACGGCAGAAAAAAGACAAAGCCGTGACGTATTATATACATTTGTATCTAGAGACACCAATTACACGATCTCTACTACAGTTAACAAATACCTACCAGAGCGAAGAAACCTACGATGGCATCAGAAAAATGACAACATCAACCATCAGCTACCTCCATTCTATATCAAAGAAACATTGCGTTTTCGAGCAGAATTTGAATTAAACTAATATTATATATGACAGCAATATTATGACATAATAAAATAATGCACTTTGTTTAATTCATTTAAGTACTAAAAGGCCTCAATATATGTAATATCAAATTGTTGTGAAAGTATAACAAATAAACATTAAAATCTTTAGTTTTTTTTTTATTTTCCTTCATACAATTTAAGCAGAAATAGGCAACAAAAACTATCTATAGATTATTTGTTTACCTGCTGCCTTTCTAAGATCAAATTCAACGGTGTTTTGGAATATGCGCTGATTCGCATGTCAATGAAACTATTCATTTTCAATAAGACTACTCATTTTTATGAATAAGTAAAATTTACAACCGTTTTACAGTATTCTTGAGTTTCTTTGTGTGAATATGTCCATAAAAAGATATGGCATTCCATTTTAAATTTAAAAATTGGCTAATCGTGCAATAAAACTTGATGTATCAAGACCCATCAAACTAATTTAGATAAACACTTTTCAAATATATCTAATCATTTACATGAAAGAGTAAAGAAAGATGAATGAATATTATAAATTTTCACATATATGAGATTAAGATAGCGTTGGAAACAATTTATATTTTGACAGTGAAACTTCTAGAGCCGTCTTTGCACTATGCTTTTTAACATAGTGAATCAAACAATGCATGTTTCTTCTCCGTTAAAAAAAAAATTAAAAAAATATCATTTTGTTCTTTGTGTTGCTAAGTACATATAAATTACAAACTAGAAGTGATATGTATCATTACTTAAATATCAATTAAACAATTGCATGTTCGGTAATATCAAAGCAGAATTGGCAGAATTTCTTTGCTATATGTCTTTTTTTATATTGTTATGTTTTCATTTGCGTGATAATAAAAAGATGATAAGTATGTCTTTTAAGTTTATTTTCTACTAAAAGCTGGTCTTTGGTTTTAGCTACAATGAGAACAATCAGATCTATCCTACTATTTGTGTCAATTTTGTAATATTGTGTTTAACAAATGAATTATAAAAACGTTACGTAAATAACGGTCATTATTAACTTTTTTCGAAACGCTATGCTATGTGCCGATTACGTGCCGCTCGAATAAACATTAAAAACTCCGGGTACGAACTTCTGCTTATAATTAATTTTATACTATTTGATTATTTGTTAGTTTTAGGAATATACTTTGTAAAAAAAATCAATGTCCTGGAAGGGGTCTGTGTTTTTATCCCCCTTATCAACCACCTTAATATTACACAAGTGTTATTTATTGGTTACATTTTTCTTTGTAAATTAAGTGATTATTTCTGAATAATAATAAAGCTGAAAACTAATTCTTTGGTTGAAATTAGGCATGTCATATAAAATGCTGTAACATTCGTTTTCATTTGCTGATAATAAATTCCGATTTCATGTTAGGTATACTTAAACTTATCGCTGTTTTATTAAATTTCCTCTTTCTCATTTCCTGCAATAATAGCTATTTGTTTTAGATGACATTTCGTTAGAATAGATTTTTTGAAGTTGTCTCGAAACTATGCACAAAAAATTTAAAGTGTAAGCCATTCAGTCAATTCTTTGGTATATATGAACCATCCATCTGTGAAAGGGTCATCATTTTAGCGTTAGAAACCTCTGCTGATGTTTTATGCTACAGGTGCGGTGTGGCACATTGTTCAATTTATATTCCTTAAAGAGAGAAGTAGTATAGGGGTCGGTTTGGGGGCACGACTGCGCATGCGCGACGCCATATTGGATTCTATTTTTAGAATGACATCATCGTTCTATTTTAAGAATGACATTTTTTTAAACATTAAATGGGTATCACACCATAAAACAGCGAAAACTATAAACTTATAATTTCAGTCACTTCCTTACCTATTCAATTCATTATTATATTGAAATAATTTTTTTTTTATCTAACCACCTATTCAAGTTTAATCAAACCTGTTAAATTGTTTCCAGTGTGTTTTAAATGTGAAGAGATTTTCCAGGTATTTTTAAAATCACATAAAACTTACCATATGCTGAGAAAGTGGCATTCCTTTCAACACTAGCAATAGTTCCAGATGTGGTGCTTTTATATGAGAAAAAACATTTATAAGTCCTAGCTTCATCACAGACTAGCTTCTCCATGTTCAAAGACAATGTAAGAAACGTGTTAGCAGGTGTGTCAGAATCCCATAATCCTCCAGCAACATAATCTTTAGTATCAGCTATTGCTGTTATTTCTGGTGCTAATGTAGGACTTTCATTGTCTTTTAGCTGCATTAATGCTAATGTTTGCCAATCATTAGGATCTGATCCAGAACTTGTTGTTGATTTAGTTCGTCTTATCTGTATGAGGTAGACAGTATCAACATCTGTTTCAGAGACATCGCATGTCATAGTTAATGTTCCTGTGCTGCCTAGTAAAACTCTCTCCCTGCTAATAGTAAAATCCACACCAGTTACTGTAAACGTAACAATTGAAATGAATACAGTATTTTAAAGTATGAAAAAGTGGAATTGTAATTTGACTCTATTTCTTGTTCTAACAAGATAATTGTTTGTAAAAGAAAAAATTGCTTGCACTCATTAAATGTACTTTTTTAAACACTCAATGAAAATGAATCAATATTTCAAGAGAGTTTAGAAAAATATAGTATAAAATAAAGAGATATACATGAAAGATATTGTCTAAACATACAGGTTCTAGTATTCTTAAAAATATAATAGTATTAAATATAAGATATACACAAACATATACACGCACGCAATATATCCGTTAAAAGTTGCACAGTTAAACAATGGAGATAAACAATGAATATAACTATTATAGAATTTAAAGTGAATTCAATATAACATCAGACTTCTTACCTTTAAAATTAGTGAAAACGATAACAAAGACAACACTTTTAAAATAAATCGACATCTTTAAGATTTAAATAATCCACGTTCCCTTTATAAATCTCACTTTAACATAAAATGTAATTTTAGATTGGAAAAGGAAGTATCGTTATTGAAAAATATTAGTATGAAATAATAGCAATATATCTATTTACATATACGGGATAAATATAACATTTTACACACATCGACGTACAGGTAGGACTTGTGTTTACCACGGTTGATCCAGATTTTTGTTTAATAACAAGGAAGTACTCCAAAGGAAGTTTAAATATAAGTTCAGAAGTTTTAAATGAAAAGGAAATTGTTAATCTTAAATTGCGCACAGTCTATTTAACATAACGCTTTATTATTTCAACTGCACATATTTGTTTATTCGGAATACATTTTTCATTGTTATTCAGACATAAGTAACTTTGTATACAGAATTTGTAATGAATGCGACATAATTTTTATATAAGATTGTTTTAGCAATAATAACTAAGAATCACCTGTTTGAATTTATTTACTTCACAACTTCACAACAGCAGATGTCATGTACTGTGTGGCAGCTCCCATACTTTGACGTAGTTATATTTTCCCGGTCCTCCGGGATCATTGATAACGTGAAGAGTTAATGCCACCCAAGATCATGCTAGGGACCTAAGAAATGTTGAACTTCTACGTTATCTCTCATGAACAGACTCAATTATACAGAGTCTGCATTTTTTATATAATTTTGTTGATTGCATTGCTCCGAAGGATCATCCCTTTTCCAGATTTGATTGTTAATTGACAATTTATTTATAATGTTTTAGTCCTTCAACACAATTTAGATCATATAGCCGTGACACAAAATCCAATCAAACAAAAAAAACCCGAAACAAACGATAATTAATGCATTAGTCCAAAAGAATAATGAACACGTTAACGCAGATTAAATTAGACTATGACAGGTTGTTTTTTATAATAACTAAGCACCTCCTAGCCACGGTAGTATTATACAAACAGATTTTTAGAGCTACAGAGAGACTTTTTAATACCATATATAAAAGCTAATCAATAAAACAATAGTTCTTATAATCTCTCAGTAGTATAGGGGTCGGTTTTGGGGCACGACTGCGCATGCGCGACGCCATATTGGATTCTATTTTTAGAATGACATCATCGTTCTATTTTAAGAATGACATTATCGTTCTATTTTAAGAATGTGATCATCCGTCTATTTTTATAAATTTATTTTTAATCTCCCGGAAGTATACGGAGCTGACTCGTTTACACGATTGAGGGCTTGAATCGCGGACATTGAGGGTCAGGTCCTCGGCCCTAGACGGAGAGATAATTACCATCATGACAGATAAAAGAAATGTTTGTAAATAGATACGTACTTAACATTTTAATTTATAAAAAATAGTTTTTTAATAGGTTCAAAATAATATTGATACAAATATAACTCGTTTACTTACCTACATTTAGTAAGGAAATGACTGTCATAGCGTAACGTTCTTGTAGACTGCGCATGATCTATTTTTAGTCGCGGTATTTCACAACCACCAGGAGCTATTTCATCAGCCCCACGCGGGTGTCATTGAAAGAAAAAGGCATTAAGTACAGTCGCCGCTCAGTCTAGATTCACAATACCTAGCGGCACTATGTTGAACAAAAACCCTTTATCCTTCGTTACTAAATATAACTTTTTATTAATCACAAAAGAATCTATTATCCTTTCAAACGCAGCGACCGTCAAGTACAGTCGCCACTTAGTCTAGATTTACAATACCTAGCGGAACTATGTTGAACAAAAACCCTTTATCCTTCGTTACTAAATATAGCTTTTCATTAATCACAAAAGATTAATAGAATTGACGGACCTTTTTTGTTACGGTTGATAAACCGGAGGGGATGAATTAATTGAAATATGGACCAATGAAGATGGTTTATTTTTACAACGCATCAATTATACAGATTCTGCCGAACTAAGGCGTGTTTGGTATCAAATGAAACGTCTTAAGCCGCTCTTTATGAATACGGACTAAAATCGAAATTAAAATCACTCATGCGTAAAAATCATTAAAATAACTAAAATAAGCTTACCCCCAGTCTTTACTCCTTGCCTATCAAACTATTTATGACAAGTTACTATAGCCTATCGTTAAACGGTCCAGTTACGACAGGTTTAAACCGGTATTGCTATTTTTGATTAGCCAATGAAATTGAAGAACGAGGTTTTTAAACCATTTTTTTAAAGTTCATAAAACCCTTAGATTTATATGCCGTTTGAAAGATCTCTGCCAGTAGATACAGAAAATGTATTATTATATAGATCTATCTTTTACTGTTTCTGAGATAGGAGAGTTTCAATATGGCAGACAAAATCACTCATGCGGAAAAACGCGCATAACTTTTTCGTTTATGAACGAAACATAGTCATGTTTGTTATCAAATTGAAGGTCTTGACGAGTACATTCTGACGCTGGCGATAGTAAAGTTCATACTGGAAGTCAAAATCACTCATGCGTAAAAAATATATATTTTGGTTACTAGAGCAACCGAATCCGATATGATTTTTAATTGTTGACTACCAATTGAAAGAACAGTTCATTACCTTTAATGTACACCCCATTGTCGATTCGATTTTCAGCCGTTTTTGAGTTATGACGCAAGAGCGATTTTAAACCCTAAATTGCGAAAGTCAATAAAAACGTTACAACTGTTTTCCAATCGATTCGTCTCGTCGCGCTGATAAAGAAAATATATAGTTTTATGGGTTTATCTTTTACCGTTTTTGTGTAATTCGAGTTTAAAGTCACCGGAAGTGACGTCACAGAAATTTCAAAATCGATTTCTTCGTTATTACTTGACCGAATATATACGTGTTTGGTATCGTTGGAAAGCATTTTACCACACCTGTTACCTGACGCTATTTAAAAAGCCATTGGACCGGAACTGAAATCACTGAAGCGTAAAAACGTGTTTTCTGTACCACGCCTGGACCGATCTTAGGCGTGTTTGGTATCAAATGAAATGTCTCAAGCCGCTCTTTATGAATACGGACTAAAATCGAAATTAAAATCACTCATGCGTAAAAATCATTAAAATAACTAAAATAAGCTTACCCCCAGTCTTTACTCCTTGCCTATCAAACTATTTATGACAAGTTACTATAGCCTATCGTTTTCGGTCCAGTTACGACAGGTTTAAACCGGTATTGCTATTTTTTATCAACCAATTAAAATGGAGAACGATGACGTTCTTACCAAAAAATAGATATGACTTGCCCAGTGGAGAGTATATAAGAGAGCACTTTAGCCCCTTTCGTCATTCTGACTTCAGAACTCTAGCGGCGGTGATTGGCAACCAGAAACACTTAATGATTGGCTATGACAATGCGTCAAATCTTGGAAAATGTTGACGTTGAGGAAAGTGTTTCATTTCGAAACACATCCCTGCATTATCATTTAAACTTTATCAAATGGATAGGGATTATTGTGATTGCCTTGATATGTACTATACCTGTTTTCTTGATTTACGTGTACTCGGATTGTGGTGTACCAGCCAACGATGGAAACATACGACCAAACTTGAACCAAACTGTATGTACTTTTGTTGAGCAGTTTCATCTTCAAGACAATTTATATGCTACAGTGTGCAGTCAGGCTAATTATGTATTCCTAGATATTAGAGAGTTCATTAATGGAACGGCTACAATTCGCGGCATAGACTTGAACCTACTTCAGTGGATAAGCCTAAAGAGGTTTACTTCAAGTATAGACAAGGTCATGACACTACGGAAAGAGTAAAGTATAATAAGTAAATACATATTTCCGTTTATATTGTAGCGGAGAGATTACATGAATTAAGAGTGTAATTCTTTTAGTCACCGCTGCCACCGCCGCCGCCGCCGCCGCCACCGCCGCCGCCGCCACCTCCACCGCCGCCATCACAAAGAAAACTGTCTACAGCGTAAGAAGGATGATCATATCAATAGATGGAAGAATACCGCAGTGTACTTCTGTGACCACTTTAATAATGAATCAGTGTTCTGTTTGCCAGCAATCTTTCTCAAGACGTGACGTCATGCTGAGACATCAACGTTATGTACATGGGAGTGATGACACTGTTAAAAGTGATTCTTTATCGCAACAAATCACTCATAGGGACACTTCAGAAAAGATGAATTTTCAACACCCATTTTCCATGGTCGTCTCCGGGCCTAGTGGTAGTGGAAAAACTGAATGGACTAAAACACTGCTTTTATCCGATCTAGTAAATCCGCCACCAGAGCGCATCATATGGTGTTACGGGCAATGGCAGCCTCTGTACGATGAACTTCAACGTAGAATACCCTGGATAGAATTTGTACGAGGTATCCCCGACTACTTGAATAGTCAAGAGTATATTAATACCCGTAAAAGGAACTTGATTGTTTTTGACGATTTAATGACAGAAGCCAAATGCGATCAAAGAATTGCTGATCTTTTTACCAAGGGCAGTCACCACAGAAACATATCTATTATATATCTCACCCAGAATTTATTTCCTCAAGGAAAAGCTTGCAGGGACATATCTTTAAATACCCAGTACCTGATATTGTTCAATAATCCTATCGACAGACAGCAAGTGGCGACATTGGCCAAAAGAATATATCCCACATCAAGTGCCATTTTTATGAAACGGTTCGAACAAGCTACGTCGAAACGTTACGGTTATTTGGTAATAGATCTTAAATCCAGTACACCTGAACATAATCGTTTACGTAATGACATTTTTGAGGCCAACAATCCTGAACTTAGAAAACGGATGGATATACCTCCGGAGAACCAGTTACACGGTGAAGGTAATTCGTTTGACACGACGATAAATGATGATGATGATGATGATGAAGATGCAAATGATGATGAAGATGCAGATGATGATACTGATAAAGAGCATATAGAGGGTGGTGATAGAGGTGTAAAGAGACAAGCTTTTTTTATGGGACCTCCTGGTAAGCGTATAAAAGAAGAGCTCAAAGAAGAACGCAAACGTCATGACATATGGGATAGAAGATTTCAAAAGCCTTTACGACAGTCTTGTAAAGAACAATTTAAAGACGGGCTAAACAGTTACATAGATCAAGAGTACTCTTTTGATGAGGCTTATGCTCGCACTGCTAATGATGCGTTGCCACATTTGAGAAAGAAGATGAGACAAAATTATGCCCAGTTTCTGATTGACTTTTACGCATTACAAGAGGACCCCACTCAGCAACAAATTCTCCAGTCAGCGAAGAAACTTAGACATCAGCACGACATGACCATTGAAGAATCAATCCGACAAGCCGTTAAACTTAGAAAAGACCGGTTTGAGGCGTTATGGCCTAATCACGACATCAAGGATTTTAATGGTGAGAATAATAAAGATGATGACAATGAAGATCACAAATCAGATGGAAAATAAAAATATCGTAAGAATGATCTTTGCTCCTTTACTTTCAAAACACAACATGGGTTCCATAGAGGTGTACGATCATAAACAACAAAAATGGGTGCCGTATATAAATGACCCAGATAAATGGTATCAGCATTTTAAAGATTTGAGAGACGGTTACGTGACACCCGATCATAGAGGCCGGTACATTATAGGTAGCGGTAATTCGCGTAGAAGGCTCGTGACACTAGAAACGAAGCTCAAAGAAACGGAGAAAAAGCTTAAAGAAACGGAAGAGAAGCTTCAAAATGCACAACGCCCTGTGGTTAATATGGTTAGCCCCGTGGCTCAAGCGGTTGAAATGGCAAAGTCGGAAGTAAAACGATTACGTGATTCCAATATAGAAACGTCGGCACCTAAGAAGCGTAAAACGGATATTGACTGGACTCGGTTCACTTTCTAAAATGGATAATTACCAGCTAGAAAATATATTGAAAAGATACCCAGTGACAGTGTGTGCGGCTGATGAAATTCGTAAACAAAACGGAAGATTTGTGATTTCAAACACAGATACGAGTAACGGACCGGGAAAACATTGGGTAGTTTTCTATTTTCCTAGACACGGACCTTACGAATATTTCGACTCGGTTGGAAATAGTCCAGAAAGCTATGGCGTGGGATTTGATAAGATACTTAACAAGAAATATCTCAGAAACTACGGCCAACTACAACAACTTTCGTCTAATGTGTGCGGCCTCTACTGCGCATACTATGTCATAAAACGATATCAGGGAAAGACTTTGAAAAACATCGTCAAAGAATTTGATCCGTATCAGAAGAAGCACAATGATCGTTCAGTAGTGTCTAAAATGAAGAAACTAATTAGAAAAAAGAAGTGACAAAACAAGTATATCACTAGTTTTAAAACAATGTTCTGTATGAAATAAAAATATAAATTACCATGTGTTTTGTTTTTATTTATTCCCATAAGAATAGCCTTATGCTACTGCTATTGCCCCGTAATACAAGACAACTAGTCCCCGCCTCTCTCTGTTTAGTCCAATCATGTTGCAGTTAGACTAATGAAAATGTGCAAGTACTGTCTTATCAGTGACTAATCAGAACGCTTCTTTTACTCCATTTATTACGATTAACCGTAGCGATTCATTCATTTCCGATTTAGATTGCGAGGAGTAAAGACTGGGGGTAAGCTTATTTTAGTTATTTTAATGATTTTTACGCATGAGTGATTTTAATTTCGATTTTAGTCCGTATTCATAAAGAGCGGCTTGAGACATTTCATTTGATACCAAACACGCCTAAGATCGGTCCAGGCGTGGTACAGAAAACACGTTTTTACGCTTCAGTGATTTCAGTTCCGGTCCAATGGCTTTTTGAATAGCGTCAGGTAACAGGTGTGGTAAAATGCTTTCCAACGATACCAAACACGTATATATTCGGTCAAGTAATAACGAAGAAATCGATTTTGAAATTTCTGTGACGTCACTTCCGGTGACTTTAAACTCGAATTACACAAAAACGGTAAAAGATAAACCCATAAAACTATATATTTTCTTTATCAGCGCGACGAGACGAATCGATTGGAAAACAGTTGTAACGTTTTTATTGACTTTCGCAATTTAGGGTTTAAAATCGCTCTTGCGTCATAACTCAAAAACGGCTGAAAATCGAATCGACAATGGGGGGTGTAAATTAAAGGTAATGAACTGTTCTTTCAATTGGTAGTCAACAATTAAAAATCATATCGGATTCGGTTGCTCTAGTAACCAAAATATATATTTTTTACGCATGAGTGATTTTGACTTCCAGTATGAACTTTACTATCGCCAGCGTCAGAATGTACTCGTCAAGACCTTCAATTTGATAACAAACATGACTATGTTTCGTTCATAAACGAAAAAGTTATGCGCGTTTTTCCGCATGAGTGATTTTGTCTGCCATATTGAAACTCTCCTATCTCAGAAACAGTAAAAGATAGATCTATATAATAATACATTTTCTGTATCTACTGGCAGAGATCTTTCAAACGGCATATAAATCTAAGGGTTTTATGAACTTTAAAAAAAATGGTTTAAAAACCTCGTTCTTCAATTTCATTGGCTAATCAAAAATAGCAATACCGGTTTAAACCTGTCGTAACTGGACCGTTTAACGATAGGCTATAGTAACTTGTCATAAATAGTTTGATAGGCAAGGAGTAAAGACTGGGGGTAAGCTTATTTTAGTTATTTTAATGATTTTTACGCATGAGTGATTTTAATTTCGATTTTAGTCCGTATTCATAAAGAGCGGCTTAAGACGTTTCATTTGATACCAAACACGCCTTAGTTCGGCAGAATCTGTATAATTGATGCGTTGTAAAAATAAACCATCTTCATTGGTCCATATTTCAATTAATTCATCCCCTCCGGTTTATCAACCGTAACAGAAAAGGTCCGTCAATTCTATTAATCTTTTGTGATTAATGAAAAGCTATATTTAGTAACGAAGGATAAAGGGTTTTTGTTCAACATAGTTCCGCTAGGTATTGTAAATCTAGACTAAGTGGCGACTGTACTTGACGGTCGCTGCGTTTGAAAGGATAATAGATTCTTTTGTGATTAATAAAAAGTTATATTTAGTAACGAAGGATAAAGGGTTTTTGTTCAACATAGTGCCGCTAGGTATTGTGAATCTAGACTGAGCGGCGACTGTACTTAATGCCTTTTTCTTTCATTGACACCCGCGTGGGGCTGATGAAATAGCTCCTGGTGGTTGTGAAATACCGCGACTAAAAATAGATCATGCGCAGTCTACAAGAACGTTACGCTATGACAGTCATTTCCTTACTAAATGTAGGTAAGTAAACGAGTTATATTTGTATCAATATTATTTTGAACCTATTAAAAAACTATTTTTTATAAATTAAAATGTTAAGTACGTATCTATTTACAAACATTTCTTTTATCTGTCATGATAGTAATTATCTCTCCGTCTAGGGCCGAGGACCTGACCCTCAATGTCCGCGATTCAAGCCCTAAATCGTGTATACGAGTCAGCTCCGTATACTTTCGGGAGATTAAAAATAAATTTATAAAAATAGACGGATGATCACATTCTTAAAATAGAACGATAATGTCATTCTTAAAATAGAACGATGATGTCATTCTAAAAATAGAATCCAATATGGCGTCGCGCATGCGCAGTCGTGCCCCAAAACCGACCCCTATACTACTGAGAGATTATAAGAACTATTGTTTTATTGATTAGCTTTTATATATGGTATTAAAAAGTCTCTCTGTAGCTCTAAAAATCTGTTTGTATGATACTACCGTGGCTAGGAGGTGCTTAGTTATTATAAAAAACAACCTGTCATAGTCTAATTTAATCTGCGTTAACGTGTTCATTATTCTTTTGGACTAATGCATTAATTATCGTTTGTTTCGGGTTTTTTTGTTTGATTGGATTTTGTGTCACGGCTATATGATCTAAATTGTGTTGAAGCACTAAAACATTATAAATAAATTGTCAATTAACAATCAAATCTGGAAAAGGGATGATCCTTCGGAGCAATGCAATCAACAAAATTATATAAAAAATGCAGACTCTGTATAATTAAGTTTGTTCATGAGAGATAATGTAGAATTTCAACAATTCTTACGTCCCTAGAATGATCTTGGGTGGCATTAACTCTTCACGTTATCAATGATCCCGGAGGACCGGGAAAATATAACTACGTCAAAGTATGGGAGCTGCCACACAGTACATGACATCTGCTGTTGTGAAGTTGTGAAGTAAATAAATTCAAACAGGTGATTCTTCGTTATTATTGCTAAAAACAATCTAATATAAAAGTTAATTTGCATCCATTACAATTACTGTATACAAACTTTCTTATGTCTGAATAACAATGAAAAATGTATTCCGAATAAACAAATCTGTACAGTTGAAATAATAAAGCGTTATGTTAAATAGACTGTGCGCAATTTAAGATTAACAATTTCCTTTTCATTTAAAACTTCTGAACTTATATTTAAACTTCCTTTGGAGTACTTCCTTGTTATTAAACAAAAATCTGGATCAACCGTGGTAAACACAAGTCCTACCTGTACGTCGATGTGTGTAAAATGTTATATTTATCCCGTATATGTAAATAGATATATTGCTATTATTTCATACTAATATTTTTCAATAACGATACTTCCTTTTCCAATCTAAAATTACATTTTATGTTAAAGTGAGATTTATAAAGGGAACGTGGATTATTTAAATCTTAAAGATGTCGATTTATTTTAAAAGTGTTGTCTTTGTTATCGTTTTCACTAATTTTAAAGGTAAGAAGTCTGATGTTATATTGAATTCACTTTAAATTCTATAATAGTTATATTCATTGTTTATCTCCATTGTTTAACTGTGCAACTTTTAACGGATATATTGCGTGCGTGTATATGTTTGTGTATATCTTTATATTTAATACTATTATATTTTTAAGAATACTAGAACCTGTATGTTTAGACAATATCTTTCATGTATATCTCTTTATTTTATACTATATTTTTCTAAACTCTCTTGAAATATTGATTCATTTTCATTGAGTGTTTAAAAAAGTACATTTAATGAGTGCAAGCAATTTTTTCTTTACAAACAATTATCTTGTTAGAACAAGAAATAGAGTCAAATTACAATTCCACTTTTTCATACTTTAAAATACTGTATTCATTTCAATTGTTACGTTTACAGTAACTGGTGTGGATTTTACTATTAGCAGGGAGAGAGTTTTACTAGGCAGCACAGGAACATTAACTATGACATGCGATGTCTCTGAAACAGATGTTGATACTGTCTACCTCATACAGATAAGACGAATTAAATCAACAACAAGTTCTGGATCAGATCCTAATGATTGGCAAACATTAGCATTAATGCAGCTAAAAGACAATGAAAGTCCTACATTAGCACCAGAAATAACAGCAATAGCTGATACTAAAGATTATGTTGCTGGAGGATTATGGGATTCTGACACACCTGCTAACACGTTTCTTACATTGTCTTTGAACATGGAGAAGCTAGTCTGTGATGAAGCTAGGACTTATAAATGTTTTTTCTCATATAAAAGCACCACATCTGGAACTATTGCTAGTGTTGAAAGGAATGCCACTTTCTCAGCATATGGTAAGTTTTATGTGATTTTAAAAATACCTGGAAAATCTCTTCACATTTAAAAACACACTGGAAACAATTTAACAGGTTTGATTAAACTTGAATAGGTGGTTAGATAAAAAAAAATATTTCAATATAATAATGAATTGAATAGGTAAGGAAGTGACTGAAATTATAAGTTTATAGTTTTCGCTGTTTTATGGTGTGATACCCATTTAATGTTTAAAAAAGAAAGGCAATGTATTAAAGAACAAAGCGTATGGCGGTTATTCGTTGCCAAACATCCAGCCTTGTTGATCTGAGTTGAACAGTTTGTTTATAGGCACACTACCACTGTTTTTTCTAAGTATGTAAATTCCAATGTTACATTCTTGGATTGAGTTTGTTAACATTGTAAACATGTACCGTATAAGAGTTTTTTTTTCTGCGGGCACCAAATTCTGCGGTTTTTCCAAATTTATGAAAATTAATATAAATTTTGAATAAATTAGACAACAATTAAAGTATACGACGAGTATTACGCAATATAAGGGTTAAAAGATTTTGAATGATTTAGTGGTAAACAAACCATTCAGCGTCCTGGCAAACACTGCATTCAGGTATGATATTTAAAGAATTTTAATAAATACATCCCTACAAACACATAATGAGCCAACAGCAATTTTATAAAACTCGATGACCTGCCAACCGTTATAATCCGTAAGTCGTTAATACTTTAGACGAAACTGGTAATAACGTAAGACACATATCGCAAACGTTTGAAACATGGAGAAATATTCTGCGGTTTTTATTTCTGCGGTGCTGAAATTGACCGCAGAATACGCAAAGATAAAGTCACCGCAGAAAAAACGCTTATACGGAATTCCATTAAAATACATCTTGTTAAACGACGAAACATTAACTGGTTTTCTGTGAGTAGCAATACCAATAAATAATAAAGAAAAAAATGCTCTTTCTGCAGTCTAAAACACAGGGAAGAAAGCAAACAAGAACAGCACCAGCGTAGTGTCCGCTAACCATGCATTTCAATACGGTGTTCCGTGGGCCAGCGAGTTTTCTCTGAAAACGTTTAGCGCAAAACATGACAGTACGGTGGTATGGTGACAATAAGACAGTACGATGGCGAAGCACGACAACACGATGTGGACTGTCCGTTGTGCTGTCGTATTGTCACCGTCGTACTGTCACTTTCGTACAGTCCTACTGTCAAAATCGTTCTGTCGTACCGTCACAATCGTACTGTCGTACTATAAACATCGTTCTGCCGTTCTGTCACTATCGTACGGTCCAACTTTCACCATTGTACTATCGTACCGTCACAATCGTACTGTCGTACCGTCTCAATCGTACTGTCATATTGTCACTATTATACAGTCGTATTACCATCGTACTGTCGTACTGTCACCTTCCTGTTAGACATTGGCAAAATTAAATAAAAACATGGAAGAAAACGTTGACCATATCATAAAGTCTCATTCTTAAATGGCTTACCTACACGTACATTTTTGTATTGATGATAAGAGTTTGAAATAGAAGCTGATAAAAATAATCCAGGTCTTTCAAGGAAATACTATATTTTAAAAATAAGTCAATTACAAAATTTCTAGATTAGGCATATCTGTTGAAATACAAATTATGGAGACATATGTGTACATTTAAGAAATAACATTGGCCCGAGAGGTGTATATCGGCTGCTATTTAACACCGGTTTGGAGTTTTGATGCGTAGGAATTGACCACGAAGGCCGTTGCAGTCAGTCCCTCCTTGCACCAAAATACATTCAGGAAAAAGGATTAAAAGGTTTATAGACAAGTACGTTCAAGCCCCAGACAAACTTTTTCTTAACTTACAGTCATATCCTCAGTACACTATTATCTTTCCCCAATTGTTTTTCCAGCCTAAATTTAAGTACCGTCCAGTGACCCTTGTGTATTTGTCGGCGGTCAAGCTTATTCATGAACCAAGTGTACTTAGATAACTGTGCTTTATTTATAATAAGCACACTTTTCTCTAAAGAGGTTTGTTTTATCTGAGATATCGCACTGTGGGTTATTACCAATAAGCAAGTTACTGGTGTATAACAGCTGAGGATCATCAAAGACCAATCGTCGCACAATGCGAAAATTAGAACTAAAAACACACTTTCTGCCTTTTATGCGTGTTTTTTTATTGTACGAACTATGCAAATCATGAATGGAAAAAGATCTAGAAAATCATACTTTTTTTCGTTTTTCTTTAAATATCAGAATAATTTCAAGTCCAATACTAACAACTATTTCTACGATACAAAATAAGATAAGAATTCTATACCTGTGTACCCTAATTAATGTCAGTTTCATTTAGCCAGGTGAACTGTTTCAATGTCTACATCCAGACTGACCTTCATTGTTTATTAACTATTTCAGTACAGTACTAGTATGTTGTTTATGTTTTACTATATAGTGTATGTAAGAAGACGGTATGTCAGTCAATCAACAACATCTTGACGACTTAATCTGTGTTTACAAATATTTACTTTCATTACCTTCATTATAGCATGTCACTCACGATTATCATGTTTTTGTCATGCTTAACTGATTCAATTCATAAAGTTAACGACTTATCACTCATGGTAAACTACAGGTATTATGTAAGTTAACTGTTAAAATGTTTATTTTATTGTACACACAGGCGCTTCTGTCATTTGTATCTTTATGATATAACAGGGGATACAACTAAAAATTGCCCAATTCACGAACGCAGTGTACGACAGCTGTTTTACTTTTGATTGTTGGAAATTCATGAAAGCATCGATAATTTCAAAACAACAATTGCCTCACTTTGATACATGGACAATACAAATATTCAATTAAAAAATTTAAAATATTATTAAAATAACCTTCCGTGTTTCATTTTTACACACGTTCGTAAAATTTTGGTTTGTAAAATTATACGTGTACAACGATATCTTATGCAAACGTATGGTCATATAAAAAGTGTTTAACCATGTAATTGGTTAAATATCAATCATCCACCATCATCAATGTTTATCTATTTCACGCGTTTTGTTAGTAAAGCGTGAAATATTTGTCTATTCGTAACGTGTATAGTTTACAATGTAAATTATTGGTCAGTACTTGTGCACGAGTTTTACGTGCTTGATAGTGTAGTATTTAAAGGTTTATGTTTATGAAATATTCATTCTACCAGACGATTCAGTACAAGCAACATTTATTTCGTTTTTACTGCCGGAAAGCAGCCATGCTGGATCAGCAAAATGAACTTCTTTCGAGCATGGAAAGAATGATATCTTCCAAATTGGCAGAATTGGAAACCTCTCACAAATAATGCTCTCAAGCTCAAATCTCGAGGATTCATCAGAGTTTGGCGTCGAACGGAAGTAACACTTTTTCCTTAAAAATGGGAATGAAGAGCAACACAAAGTCAACGTGCATGTCCTTGACACGTTGAAGAAAGCTTATGGTTACCTTCAGGACGCTGTAAACCGGTTCCATGTGAGGAAATTACTTCAGCGCAGAGAAAAGTTGCCAAAGGTATTGACATTCTTAATCATAGAGAAAAGTTGATAAAGACAGCAGATTCGTCCGATAGTTGGTTGCGAGTTGTACAAGAATATGAGGCACATCACTAAGCTGACGATTGCGACGACCAAATAAAATTGTCATAGCTCAAATGAAAGCAGATCGTGAGCTGAAGAAGGAAATACGATCCAGGAGTTTTCGTTTTTCGCCTTTTCAACGAAATCCTTTTATCAAAGGATTCGTCTGCTCTGTCAACGTCTCAGTCTCCAGGAATACAGTCATGGAACATGTCTTACCAAGAGAAAAGACCGGACACCTGTTTCCGTTGCGATAGACCAGGGCACTAGGGCGCTGAATGCAGAGTCATTGATGACGTCACACGAATAATTCAAAGAGAAGTAGAAATTTAAATTTCGTATTTGAGAAGTCTGAGCTTTTTAAAGAAAATTTAGTAAACGACAAATGTACAATTTTGTCACCAGTTGGTAAATTAAAATGTTCTTTGAAACATTGGGAAAATGCTGGTGCAAGTCAATACATTCTTGACATTGTAAAATTTGGTTATAAACCAAAAATGTTTATGTGTATGAAATATTCATTCTACCAGACGATTCAGTACAAACAACTTTTCTAGTAAAGATAACAGGGTGGAAATATATGTATATGCACATAATGTTTTTTAATTGTCGTAAAACATTAGCTGAAAATGTAAAAGTAAAAATCAGACTTTATACATATCTGTACATCAATCGTTATTGTATAATCATTAAGAAACATCTTTGTCGTTTTTGATATTTTAGAAACTTATCTTATTTGAAGACAAAATAACTGAGTATAATTTTCTTTTATATGTGTATTGACTATAAGCACTTATATGATGATATAAGGTTGTTTAATTTAACTGTTTTATATTATTCATAAGTAAAGATGTTTACACTAATAATAAGATAAATCTGTTTATGGTTTTCAATGGCAAGATTTGTCATAATGAATATTGAACTTGCAATGTTTATTACTTTATATCCACAAGGAATGAGGTTCGACATCCAAGCGATCTGACATTTGACAAACCGGCACAGGTTTTTCAGAGAAATTTCATTTATTTTAAATGTTTTTGACCTGTGCGAGTCGGTTCGCAAACTTAATATTTTTGTCTTTCCTTTCCGGCGTAATAATTTTCAAAACAGTTATACACAGACTAGTCTATGTGTTTTTCTCACTTGAAAAGGCGACATATAGGGGTTAATTTTGTCGGCGGTGTCGGCGTCTGCGTTGGCGTCCCCTTAAGCTTGTCCGGAGCATAACTCAGTCAATATAAGTCGGATTAACTTCAAAGTTGGTATACATGCTTCTTTTAATAACCCAAAGTGCAGTGCCTAAGGACCGGTACCCTACATTTCTTATTTCTTGAGTTATTGCCTTTTGTTAATTTTCATACTTTATTTTTGTCCCGGTCATTTCTCCTCAAGTATTAAAGCTATGGACATGAAACTTCATATGATGATAGATCTCATTAAGAAAAAGTGCAGTGTATAAGAACCGATACTTTGCATTTCTTATTTTTGAGCTATTACCCTTTATAAATTTTCATACTTTATTTTTGTCCAGGCCATTTCTCATAAATTATAAAAGATATGGACTTGAAACTTTATAGATTGATCTTATTGATAAGAAGTGCAGTGCACAGAAACTGCTGCTCTGCACTTATTATTTTTTGAGTTATTGTCCTTTGTTAATTTTCATATTTCATTTTTGTCCTGCTTATTTCTCCTAAACTATATTGTTCACAAGGTGACACATCCGACTTGCGGAGTTCTAGTTGTTTTAAGAAAAGAAAAGTATACATTTACTTGAGATCTCGTGGATATTTGGTTATATTATTGTTTTGCAATATCAAAGCTGCTTAGCTTCATATTGTTGTATTTGTTCCTCTCTGCAAAATAAATCGCACTTCTGGTGTTGCATTTATGTTTTTGTTATTTCTTTAAACAAATGAAAGTGAAGAAAAGACGTAATCATTAACTTCTAGAACGAATTATTCTAATCCATTCACGGCTTCCCTTTTAAATGTAGCCGTATTTACCAAGCGTAAATCCAACTTTTATTAGTGACTGTCAGTTTCATTGGCTAATGAATAATAATAATAATCCGGATAATAACGGCATATATCCGTGACGAACAACGGGTTTTTTATATTCTATTTCACAATTTATCTAGGACCTGTGCCTCAATGGGAGATTGGAAAATAAGTCAATAAAATAACCGCCGCACATGTGCCAATATTTACATCGCTTATATGCAGTATTGGGGCTAAACCGACGCATATACTACTTATAATGGTAGTATCATTAACGTCTTTCTTTTATACTTTTGGAGACAATTTGTTAACACAGTTTTGTACAATCTCTTTACAATACATATATGTATGGGAATGTGATATAATGTATTTAATTAGAATTATTTATAAGTTGTCCATCAAGATATATTTTATACCAGTGTACGCTACTATACCATAAGTGGGTATAATACGTCATAATCTCGGTCTCGTCTTACTTGCGAGAGTAAAAGAGTGTAAAAAGGCGGCACCCATAAACTTTTACTTAAGTAAAAATAGTGTGTGAAAAATACAATATTTTCTGTAAAATGGTTGATTTCAACAGAACACTGTCACGGTACCTCTTTTTTAAAAGACAGGTATTGATTATATAAGATAAACATCAATATATCCGTTCCTATTCATTATTATTTAAGTTTTACAGTGACATACAGTGACATACAGATTTTAAAGTGTATGAGGCTATATTTCTGCTTAAACATTATTGTTCGAATTGTAAAGATGAATACTTCCAAAATGAAATAGAATTGGTAGTCAATTGCCAGATAGTGAATGTCTTATGTACAAAATCATTGCTAAACGCAACAATCGTACTTAAAAAACAATATTTTTCCCCCGCAACATCTTATTTTCGGTTTGTGTCATATTCATATAACTGTTTTATATTATTCATACGTAAAGATGTTTACACTAATAATAAGATAAATCTATCTTAATTTTATGTTATTACTATTTTCAGAATCAACCATTATGGTTTTTATGAATTACTGTTGAAATATTTATGAAACTGTTTCCAAAATGTTGAATAATAAAGACAACTCAAGTAGAAATTATTTTTTTATTTTTAAATAAATATCGTACAAGTTTCAACTATACACTCTTCTTTGGTATGAACATTATTATATTTTATATATTTATATCTTTTACACATTATAAGATAAATAACATTATTTAAAGAAGAGCACCTTAAATTGGAATCTGGAAGAGAAAGTAGCACTAGAAAAGTGTCTGTTTTATTTTAATATGTTAGTACAATGACTACATAAAAATATAGCTTTATACATTTCATTACATGTAAATGATTTTTGCTGTAACATTCCAGTAAAACCTCAAGTGACATCATTAGTTGTAAGGAAGAATGGTTTTATAGTAGAAGGAATGTCACCATCTAACATGGCCACTGCTGAGGTAGGAGATGAGTTGGAACTTACATGTACTGCTAATATAGGAAGCTTACCAACTACAGATATTCGATGGCATAGAACATCGGAAACATCTTCAAGCAATGACTTTATTGGTTATCAACCACCTCAAGGTACATATGATGAGGGCACCGCAGCAAGTGACAATCAGTGTGGATATACACGAGTAGCTAAAATCAGATACAACGTAACAGCGGCTGATGCCAATAGAGATAACAATCTGGCATTCGAGTGTTATGTTACAGTTAGTGGAGATCCATATGGGAACTCGTATACCTCCGAAAACAATCCGAGATTTTATACTGATGTCAGTAAGTGATCGTTTTAAGTTTCATTTCTCTCTGTGAATGTAAAATATGTAAATAAAGTTAAACCAGGTTTTATCAGAAAACATTTGTAAGCCTGTTTTAACGAAACTAAAATCTAACGAAAATATTTTCATAAATTTTTTATAACAGTAAAATAATTTTGTTTTAATAATCTTATGGTCATTTTTTAAAAAAAAAAGCTGTAACTTAGTAACTGCGCACAGTAAGGTTTGTACAATCTTAAATTAGAACAGTCTTCATGTAAACCCACTTATCATTTAAACACTGCCTATGGTGGCATATTTCTGCCAACAGTTAACCATATAATTATTACGTTAACTATCTGAATAACTGGTTAGATTTCGTGTTATCACTATAATTTCAGACATTTATCAGACTAACAAGATATTTTTCTGTTAGAAAGATAAGTAACACAACAGAACAGAACATATACTTTATTTCTGACTTGGGCTCAACACAAATCATCATAACATACATAATATTATACATGCGTATTTATTACAATGTATTACAATGTTTAAGTCGGCGTAGACAAATAAACAAATTAGTTAACTTACTGTGTTTTTATATAGTTAAAATATCAAATTTGACAATGCAAAGTGTTTCGTGTTCAAATATAAACTAATTAACATGACAGGCAAAATTCTTAACACGCAATGAAACCAAAATTTTAAAAGATTTTCGGAAAAAATTAGTCATATCATAAGATTTCTACTTCCAGCTAAACCAGGTGATGGAATGACAACCAATACTATGATTACAACAGGTAAAAATTATAAAAAAAACTTCTTTGAATTGCTTCTGTACGGGTGAATGTTACAATGTGTTAAGTCAACTTTAAGAAAGTAAATATCTCTATCTTGCGATGTTTGGGATTCTGTATGTTGTAATTAAGGTTGTAACCACACTTGAGTGGAATTTATATATAGAGGATATTTGTTTAGTTCAGTGTAAGATCGGAATATATTTCACCGAGTGAGCACCAAAAGGTATATTTCACGAGTGGCGCAGCCACGAGTGAAATATGAACTTTTGGTGTTCACAAGGTGAAATATATTTCGATCTTACACTAAACTAAACAAATTTTCTTTTTATTACATGCAAAGAAACGTTTTAAAAAAACATTAAACCTAATACTGAATGAAAAGCGCGCCAAATAATAATACAACGTGACGTCATTTACAACGTCACGTCATTAAGTTGGTACCCAGTACTGTGTACGCTGGTAATTCACCGAAACAACGTAAGGGGCTTAAATTCAAAACAGTGAAATTATCAAAGTGGTAATTTCACTGTTTCAGACAGTGAAATTACCAGTTTTATATCACTGATATATTTCTATAAACCACCGAAAAGCATGTAATAAATGTATATAATTATGCTTGTAAAACAATTTTCAAACAGCGGAGAATATGTTAAATATCTACTGCAAATATTTGTCCACGTTATATGTAATCATTAAACTGTATGCATTCATTTCTTATTTAAAAAATGACTTAGAATTTATTAAAAATAAATGTCTAATTACCTCCCTTTACTACAATGACATGTAAATTCGGTAATATTTTTACAAGTAATGTTTTTTTGAACTTACAATATTGAAAAATCCTGATTTGAGCATCATATTTATGATATAAAACCATAAAAAATGAGTTAAAGGATCTCTTAAGTTCGTGTCTTAAATTCTTGAGATCATTTTATTTAATTCGTCACTTTGATTTAATTTTTAAACCGACTCCTCAAAAATTCTTGCGTCTCAACACCATTAAATGGAAGTTAGGAAATTATTAGTCAGTGAATATAATACGTCAAGGGTGATATTTTTATAGACGGGGGGGGGGGGGGGGTCAATGGAAGTTGATGTAAATGTCATTTACAGTTCAATTTCTATAACATACTACGCAATCTATATTCCAAGAATATTCCATAGCCAAATGTTCTTGAATAAGCATTAAGAAATTTGGAAAAATAAGCGATACCGCCAAATGTTCTTGAACATGAAAAATACAAATCGAACTGTTTTTAATAATGGTTAAATTATCATTTAAACTATATATGCTTCATATCTTTGTAAACATTTGATATCAACGATTTCGTTTAATATGTGTTCTTTCTTCATCTTGGATTAATTACTAACTCTTCATCTTGGATTAATTACTAACAAACTAACCTTTTTGTCAAGAAAAACCCAAATCGCATGTTGAGCTAGACATTCAACTATCAATGTCTCGTGATGAACAAGACAATCAACATTTAGCCCAACATTCGTTTCAAACTATATTGTTAACTCGCAAATATCGAATGTGGGACCTAATGTTGTTTGTCTAGAGCTCTTAACATTGAAATTTTTAACTGCTGGCTAATTGTATATGTTCTAGTTCAACATTCAATTGAAATTATATTGAAAGCTAAAGAATATCGGGTGTTGAGCTTGATGTCAATTGTCTATGTCATCATTGGTAATTTGTTATGTCAAGCTGATTGTTGATTGTCTCGTTCAAGATTTGTTTTGAAATTATATTGTAAACTTACGTATATCGAATGCTGAGCTGAATGTTGTTTTGTTCAATATCGGAAATTTTGAATGTGTAACATATTGTTGATTGTCTAGTCTAGCTATAGCTCAACATTCGATTTGAAATTACATTTTTGTATATTGAAAAGTAACGAATATCGAATGTTGAGTTAAATGTTGAGTGTTTGTGCTCGACATTGAATGGTTGTTATTGTTGATTGTCCTGCAAAGTTACTGCTTATTGTATGTGGTTTACGTACACTTAAGACTGCATTTTAAAAATGTTTTTGTTAACTGCAAGCCATTGTCAAACCAATATCTTTATTATTGTCATTGCAGATAAAAACGAGGAATGCTTGACAGCGGGAGTTATTGCTGCAATTGTGATTGCCTCTTTTACGGTCGGTGTTTTAGTCGGGGTGGCGTTAACATGGCTGAATCTAAGTAGGAATCAAATAATGAAAGGTATTTTAAATTAATTGAATGACATTTTTTGTGATTGTCTTTACTTTGCTTTTTAGAAAAATGTTTAAGCAATGGTGCTGTGTGGGCTGCATGTACAAATTAATTGATGGATACAAATGACATTGAATAAAATTGTAGGAATAGCGAATAATCTCAAATATGTTTTAAGAATCAGGAATACATCTTGCGACTGAAATGTTGTTAATTTCTATAGTTAAAAAGATCCCAATGCTTGTTTAAAAATAGTGATAAAGTATACAAACACGAAGCACAAATTCTAATTTCTAGATTTACTTGTTACTAACGCTCGCTTTTATACTACTTAACCATTTTGTGCATTCTTCCCCCAATTTTGCACTAGATATTTAGTTTTTAATGATGTCATAACAAATGTCTTTATATATGGACAAGGTTCATTAATAAAAATGTGTTTTAATGAAAAAATACTTAAACAAAACAAGAAAGATTGAACCAAAGTCTTTATATACTTTTTATGTTAAAATAGGTTGGACAGAGCAAAATCAGCATCAGACTACATCAATATCCCGAGAAACAGAATTAAACGTTGCGTCACATTTACCGTAAGAAACCGTCAAATGTTTGTTTGTATTGATAAAAATGTGAATTATTGTTTCTCATGATTTAAATCACTCATAATTAGTTATTTTTGGTGTGAACAAAACTGATATAAATACTACATACATTATAAAATCATTCCAAATGAATATAATAGCTTTAGAAAAAAATAGAATAAAAATAAATTGTCAAACTTAGCCGAAACCCGGTTTTTGTAAGCATCAACACTCAATTAACTGATTTAGTGACCGAAATTGCAAAGAAAACTATTGTTTTAACTATAAAATATTATTCTATATCTAGAAATACCTATGAACAACTTCAAAGCAGAGCCGATACTGAAAATAATTTGGCTTATGATTCCCTACATGGTACGTAAATTATGTTCTTACTGTGAACAACTTTCCTTCCTTGTATTTAATTATTTAACATGTTTTCTTTTACCTTTAATTTATCTGTAACTTTAACATTTTCATATCGATATGATGTCAAATTGATTTTTTACATTTAATTTAAGATTGTACAATGAATCAGTTCATTATTAAATAATTTTTGTATAAATTTTGACACATTATGTATACTTTTAAAAGTTGTTTGCCATTCAACCTTTGGATCGTGAGTTCTAACTCTACGTAGGTCACGACTTAGATTTCTCACATGTCTCCAATTTTGATTAGTTTCAGGCTGTGGACGTGAAAATTATTAATATAAGTTTTATTTAAATGTTTCACAAAAAGCTTTATCTTGCTGTATGACCTTTACAGTGTTGGTCAACCAAAACTGAAAACCAAACCAAACTAACAAACAAACGAAAGACAGAAAACGAATGCTTCTTACCCAATGCTTCTTACCTTTTAACTGTTATAATATTTGTTTGTTTTAATTTGCAATCTACTTTTATATAGATAAAACATGAAAGGACTAATGAGAAAATAAGAGTTTCGTATTAAGTAAAATATATTTTTATTTTTCGGGTATTGTTTTTATCAATTAATCAAAAATTCAACCTTATTAAATAGATTGTCAAGTGTTTATATACGTGTTAGAAAAAAAAATCGTAGTATCTTTAACCTCCAAAATAAACTGAGTTGTAAGTTTAGAAACAAATTTTCAAGCTAGAGTGATGTATATAGAACATGATTTTTTTTAAGAAGTGTTGTCTTTATAAATATATTTGATCACAGAGATAATACGTATCAATAAATAGCTGAGTATAAACTTGTAGTCCGTAAGGAGTATTCATTTGCAAATGAAACACCGAGTATTTTCTGTTGACAGTGGCAAGATCAAGCTTGAAAAATGAACGGTTTAATTATTGCTAATTTGCCTATTTTAAGAGCTGTGGAAACGTTTTGATTTTTCATAACATTTACTTTATAAAAGCTTACATGTCGTCGTATGTATAACATATAGAAATTCCCATTGCAGTTGCCCTTTGTTACGTACTTGTTAAATAAATTTAAACTAATATTCTGTTTCATATAATATTTCAGCAAATACCAGTGCAGCACAAGACAGGTAATGATATATAGAAAGTGTACGAAAATATTTAAACCATGGAATGTCATGTGCTTTCAAATATAAAATAAGATGAATGCTGTCACTAAATGTATTGTTGTATGTATTGTTTAAAAGATCGTAATTGATATTAGGTTCATCTAATACTTATTCTAAATTTTGCTATTTATGAAGAAGCATTTGCAAATATTTAATCAGTCAGATGATGTCCAAAGCTAAGGAAAGGTTTTGAAAAGTTCTTTAAACAACATACATTATTGTCATAAAAATATTGTAATCTTAACTTTTTTAAAACATTTTCCTCTTTAGTAACGTGTCATTTTTAGAAAATTCATTTATATGACTACTTTCAGCCATTCACAGTATGAGAGTCTTAAACAGGAAGCAGGGACATCTCACACTTATGCAGGTCTAGAATACAACCGATGAAATTGTTTGCAGATTTAAAAAAAAAGATGCCTTTACCTTTGTTTAAAGGACATACAAAAACAAACTATAAGCACAAATGTTTTTTGACGTATTATATATATATCTTTCATGTCGATATTAACTTGTTCATAGTTGTACTGGTTAGACGGAACAATCAATTGTAACATTACCTATTTTTAATTTCTCGTTCTAAGGAAAAGCCGGCTTTGAATGATTTTTATTACTGGTTAGTTTTCATTGCCGTCACAATTATTCTAACAGTCATTGTTTATTGCAAATTAAATTGAAATTTATCTCTTGAAATTTATTTTGTGTGATTTGTAATTGCTTTTTATTATACATTCAAGTATTTTTTGTCATCATATAATTTTGAGCATAAATATATTTCTTGTATCTCTGGTATTCCAATTACATCAATATTGTTGCCATATGGATATATGAAAACTTGCAAACTTTGAAAAAAAAGACATATTCATATATAAAGGCATATTTACTTGTCAATTTGTATGAATATACTTGCACACAGATGTTAAAAACATATTAATAATGTTAAAGATGGTGTCTATCGGATTGTATACCTCATTCCGTTAAATACACTACTACTTCATTTAAATTGTTTAGATATTTTAAAAATAAGATTAACTCACGTGTGCTGTTCAGATGCTAGGGCAACTTAGTTACACACAGTGCTAAAAAACTGGCAAACACTTTGAACTATATTACTTATTCTTGCATCACAGTCATATACTACAAATACGGGACGAGCTTGCTATAGTAAGTATTTCTGTACAATTTGCAAAGCTTAAAGTTATCTCGATGAAAATACGTATCTTTTTATCCTGAAATGTGTATGGGTACATTTGAGACATCCCTCGTACAAGCAACAATTAATTTTTAATTGACGTGTTTTAAAATATCAAACTTAACTTTTAGGACGCTCTTAAATTTTCAATCATTAAACGATGTCTAAAGAATTACCACTGTCACTGTGTCACTGGTTCGGACAGTATTTCATCAAAACGGCATTATCTTGTATACGTTTAGCACAAGGGCAATAGTAAAGATACAGAAATGGTTATAAACCGGAGAACAAGAAGAGAAGCTGATCGTACCTTTAAATATATTGATTATAGCGACACAAAACTTGTAGGCATAAATGTTCCTGATATCAAATAACTATTTATTTCTCATGTCCCTCAGTGCAAAATTGCACTCAAAACTATTTTACAAGGAAAATCATTGATCGCCCAGCGGCACTCGCATTCACCTTATATTCATTCTTTAACATACTAACAATAGTGCGTTGTTTGCTTTAACATTGAATTGGTTGTAACTTACCGGATACTTTAAACTTGAATAATTACAATACGTAAACTGAAGTTCAAATATATTATATGTAGCTACGAGTTCCTTCCCTTGCAATACTTTAGAAAGGAAGCGAACGAGACAAAACTATTCGATGATTTTGTAGTGCAATAAACATTATAGATTAGCCCGATTTGACGGGGAAGCACTTTGTAATTACAAAAAACGATGAAATTATTAAAAAAAATAAGAATGGCATGTACATTATTATTAAGATAAAATGTATGATGAAAAATAACATATTTGTTATTATTAGTCTCTTGTTTTTGCTCCATATTTGTCTATTTCTTCTTTTCTTTCGCTTATATTTTTCCTGAAATATTCAGTGTGTATCTATTTTGCGTATCTGGTTAATATATATACTTAAAATTATTCTGGTTCTAATCATGCAGGCAAAATGTAAATAAAATATTTCTTTCTCTTTTTCTTCAGATTGATTACGCTATGAATTTTGCTTTTTATAAATTGCAATAACTGAAAGAAGACTCTAATAAGCTTAAAATGTTTCTGCCCAAGCTGTAAATAGTGTTCACATGTCAAATTTATGTTGAATAAATATGTTTAAACCAAAGATAAATCGATGATATTTCTAATCAATCTCGAAATTAAAATGACAGATTCAATGCATGATGGCAGTTGGTTAATGTTAAGGTTGGTCATGTTTGTTTAGATGTGGTCATTTAGTTGTCAATTCCCCTAACATGTTATAGTTATAGTATATGAAACGAGTTTGTTATGAGGATATAACACTGGCTAGGGCGACATCGAGGGGATTTTTCTACTAAATAAAATGTCGAGGCCGTTAGGCAATCCCCGCAATTTCACAATTCTTTGAACTAGAAAAATCAGCAAAAAAAAATTAAATAAACAAATAAATTTTAAAAAAACATGTGCACTTCTTACACTTGTGCCCTTTCACCTTTGTTTCAAATTGAAACCAAGATTAAATGAATCAATAACCGCTTATGCTGTCATAAGCTACCTTTCAGCTATATAATTATGATAAAGAAGTTGTTTAAAGTAGTTTTTGCTGCTGCCAAAAATAAATAAACAGGAAGAAACAAGCAAGAAAACAAAAGAATAAAATAAGATATACAAGCCTCAATGTAAGTTTAAAACTTCAAATGTTAGAGGCGAATTGTAACCTTTTATCTTGTGGAGAGAATAATGTTGATTCAAGATTTTAGGGTTTTTTTATCAGTGGAATTAATTCATTCAGCAGTACCTTTTGATTTTAGCAGCTGTATATAAGATTTTTTTATTTATATTTGTTTATTTATTTATTTATTTTTGTTCGTTTACAATGCCCCATTGGAGCCTCTGTGAAAAAACTACACTAATATATACAAGGTGGGGGGAAAACTCAACTGTTATCTATATATTAGTTTTTAAGTTGTTTCTTTTTCCTATATGAATAAATGAAAAAAACTGCACTGCTATATATCAATACAGTTTTCAAATAAAAATTGAAAGTGTATTGAGTATAATGGGTTAGTGAGAACAAAGAAAAAGTTCAAAACCATGCAATGATAGCATATATTCACAAGCGTTACAAGGTGCAAATCATTTATGGTTATCACTATAAGAAGATTTCTGCCCACGGACACGATATTTCTGCAGAAAAAGATATCGTTCCTTCGCCTATTAAAATATCGTTATTTCATCTAAAGTATACCGTGGCGAAACACAAAGACACGATAAGTGAGCATATTATCGAAACAGCAATCAGTTACCATACAACAAGGCTTAAGCATCCAACAGAATGTAATGTTAAACAGTCAAAATCAGATTCAGTCTGAAATACTCATTTATAGATATGCTAATAAAACTGGAAAAATAAAATAGTTACATAAAAATAAATTGACTATCACATTGCAAGTTAATATTGAAAAAAAATATTTGTTTATAAGTTTAATAAATCCACTGACAATGTGACAAGGTAGAACATTTTCGACCTGATATAATCTTCAAAAGTAAGCATGTCTCAAATAAAAAAAACAACTTACTTATATTTACATACATCAATCGATCTACACAAATACGAACGATAAAAAATTAACAGGAATCAAATAGTGTTTGAGAAAAAAATAAAACAAAGCAACAAATGTTAAGTGTTTTAAATAACTCATAAAGGGTGAATAGCATAACCCATAATATATAAGAAATATCTGATTGACTTCCTTCCCTTGGTCTAATGTTAACGTAGCTGTCCCATCGTCAAATAACATTTAAAAACATTCTTTAGACAATTTATATTTTTCAAAGGTGTTTTTTTCTGTTAATAATATGGACGTTTCAATACTTGTATATAACATTTACATTTTATAAACCGCGTAGATTGTAATATATTATGTCTTTAAAGATATACTATGCTCATCCTTGAGTAAAATACTTTAATCAAAAAAATTTATGGACTTCTATGCAATTCTTACTGAGCATGTCTAATTTAAATCAAAGAATGAATAAACTATGTATGGGTGACTGCATTTCATTTTACAGGTTAAGTAATTTTTTTAAACTGCCAGTCGTTTTAAAGACACTGCAAATGTAAAGCAACACCATGGTTCAAAATCAACTTACCAGCTGGAATTAAAATTGCATGGTTGCCATTGATTTAAATTCATTTAATCTCTTCTAATGAGATGGTTAATGCAATTTCATGTTAACGATTAAATGCAGCCTACAGCCATAAGTGGGGAGTTGTTACGAATAATCACTGGCGCTTGTAAAACGGTGTGGCCTTTCCGCTATGGGAATGCAAAAATGCAGAAACACAAAGATAGACAAAGTGAAAGTGTGTTGAATCTTTGTCAATTTCGCATTTCCTTTTGAAGAAATAGCCCAAAACACAGTAGAGAGAAAATCAGCCACAACTGCAATAGGTACGTTTGTAAAGAATGATTATAAGATGCGCAATAAATATGTTATAAGACAAATAAAATAATTTATGTCGAAACGATATTTATATTGTTATGATTATTTCCAAAGATTTACTGAACAGTTTAAAAAAGATCATTCAACATATTTTGAAACCTCTAGATAAAGTTTTAAACTTGATTTTAAAAAACTTCTTGTGACGTAAGGTATTTATAATGTGTCTATATTGATGAAGCATATCCAAAATGTTCAAAAAAGATTAAGTACTTTAATTTGATATTGCTCGAACTAACCTTTCTGTCATTATGAATGAGATTGATTATCAAGACGTATCTTTAAAAAAGATAATCGGCCGAAATAAAACTGCATAAGTTTTGTTATTTCGTGACATGTTGATATGTTGTTTTTTGTGGGGAAAGGGAGTGTTGTTGTTGTTTTATACAGATAAAAATCTTGGAAATAGTTTCATAACATTGACATAATGTCTTGTTGCTAAGTATAAGAAAGCAACATTATGTCAACATAGAAATTATTAGCATATTTATGTCTCTCAAAAGTAAGGCAGCTTTTATATTATTTATTAAACTGTCCAAATGCTTGTTTGTACAATTGTCTTTATAAATTGTGTAACCATATTCAATATTGACAGTATTATAATAAAATATTTTCTTTCACATAAATTATTAATCAACTAATCATTTTTGTATGTTAATAAAAAAACTTTATAGTTGTAGCAAAAACAGAATGAATATTTATTTTTATAAACAAACATATATATCGACGACATGTATAAACGTTTAATTATAATGATGTAAGTATGCATTGCTCCTTCAAAAAATGACTGACAGCAATTTATATTTACCCCCACTCAGCCAAAATCACACCTAAAATATACCAATATAGGCAATCTTCATGAAGGTGCAGCATACTCCAGAATCCGCCTGATTCCTTTAAAAATATCAGTAACACGCAGTGCAAGCGTTGGCATTTTCAGAAATGACCAATGAAGTGTCTGTCATTTAGATTTTTCACAAAATTTATCTGAAATTTCTTACTTGTTTGGCGCTAACTGTCAAAGCTTGATTTTTAACTTTTTCACCTCCATTCGGAGAGTCAGAAATACATACAAAGCTACCAAAATGCTTAGTTTCGGATAAAAACCCAAAAATACTTCTCAGTTCCTACACACAAACAAGAAAGAATTACAATG